CCACTCACCTCAGCCTCCCAAAGGCGTGGGATTACAGGCTGAGCCACCGAGTCCAGCTTCATCTCTTTCTTTCTCTCATTTTAAAACAAAACAAAACAAAACAAAAAAACTGTGACCAGTCTTTGTATGATTTGCCTTTCACTAGTCTGCTCTGGCAGGCTTCTAAAGACCTTCTGGATCCATGACACCGGGATACACACTCTTCCCTGTTTCCTAGGTACTGTGCCCGGTTCAGCGCAAGGCCGCTGGAGTGTTGGGCAACAGTCCCGAGAGTACATTGCTTACCCTCCATTGAGGACATCTTTGGGGCCGGGCAATGGGTCACCAGTCCTGCTATGCCTTGTCCAGCATCTTCAGAGTCAGCTTGTCCTCTAGCACCTGTCAGAACGAGTTGGAGCCTGGAGTTGATGGACTTCAGGGAGTACTCCTCTCTTAGGTGTGGAATGAACTCTAACCAGGAACAACTACCCACTCGGTCAGGAGTTGAGAAAAGCAAAGTGATGCTTTGTCATCATCTTGGACCACAGAGCTTCTGAGAATCAAAAATATAAACCTTTTCCCCAGAAATGTAGATAGATACCGATTTTTGCTGATTGCCCAGGTCGTTCATGAAATTCTTGGAATCAAGTTAAAAATTCTCACTCTACTGATTAATTCATCTTTTTTTTTATACAGTAGAGACAGTCTCACTACGTTCCCCAGATTAGTGTTGAACTCCTGACCTCAAGCAATCTTCCTGCCTTAGTCTCCCAAAGTGCTTGGATTACAAGCATGGGCCACTCTACCCGGTCAGTTCTTAAAATTTAACAAATATTTTTGGTGTGTGGGACAAGCCCACAGTGCCATTAGGATTTGCTTTGGTAGTGGTGGTGGAGGTTCAGAGGTGTGTGCTGTAGCTTGTGTGAGGGCCTTTCCCAAACAGTCCCCAAAAGGCTAAGAGCTGCTGACCTTGACATTCACATGATTCACCAAGAGAGTATGAGGATGATTTCAGTGACCCTGCCTACCCAGGTTCATTTTCTGATACTTGAGCATTTTTTTCCTACATATCTACTAAATAAACTATTGAAGCCTAGGGAGGTGGAAAGGTTTAGTGATAGCCACTAAGGGCTTTAAAACTCCCTGGAGCCCTTACTTGAAAAATATGTGTCCTCTTTTGTGGGATTTCTTTATTGCTATTATTTTTCTTTCACGGTCAGGATTTCTATCCATGTTACATACAAAACCTGCTCAGAACACCAGGTGTATGTTTAATGATCATTCAAGGAGCTATTCATTCAGCACGTAAAAACCCAAATCACCATTAACTATCACACGCACATGTACACACACACACACGCCTTTTTTCCTGCATAGCAGCTTTTTCGTGAGATGGCAGTGGCTAACATTTGGTAGAGAAAGTCCCCTTATTGCCTCTTTCCGGTATTCCCCTAGCATGAAGGAGGTTACTTAGGTAATAAAAGTAACTATCATAATAATCGTGGCTACAAATGTATATCCGAGTACCAGGACTGGTGCACAGTATTTCTCAGACAGGCATTATCTCACTCAAGCTTCCTAAATCGAAGCTACTCTTGTTTCCCATTTTTACAGATGGGAAAATTAGGCCTGAGTGAGATTAAGTAATTTACCTAAATGGGATGCTGGTGAGCGCCCCCAGCACTGTCAGACTATAAAGCCCATGCATTCAGCAAGTCGCCTCAGACCTGAAGCCATTCTGCCTCACTGCAGACGCAGCAGCTTTCTCGTGCCTCTTCTGAACCTTCAGATGCAGGACAGTGATGACATCAGCCAGTGCGCACCTTGTTCAATCAGCCTAAAAGAGGAAGCGTGTGCACTGGCTGTGAGGAAGTCACTAAAGGTAGAGCTGTGACTTGCTCCTGCCCGTGTCCGACCAGCTGCTAGAATGATGGGCGGCAGTCCCCCTCAGCTGGAGGGCAGCCAACTGGGGCAGAGATTATAGGTGAGCCAGGGCAGGGACTCACAGGGCTGGACTGAGGGCAGGGGCAGGCTGGAACACACGTAGAGTTTTGCTGGGCAAAGTTTCACCTCTACACCAAGGAGGAGGTGCTGGGCTCTGTCCACTGACCAGTTCTCAGAAGGGATTCTGGCTTGTGGCTGGAGGATGTGGTCTTAGGTCTTAATCTGCCCAGGACAGCAGTCCCTCAGCAGCACGCATAATGATGCTGACAGAACAACCATCATGTATTAAGCTATGATTTTTATGAGAGTCAGTCTAGAGGGAGTGATCTGCCCTGTACTAGCTGAGTGACCTTGAGAAAACGACTTGCTGTTTGTAGGACTCGGTCTCCTCACCTGTAAATGGGAAGAATAATAGTACCATCAACCTTATAGGGGTTGTTCTTTTGACTTAAAGTTTGCAGTCTTTAAAACAGTGGCAGGCACATTTCAATCGCTTGGCAAGTGTTAGATTTTGTATGATCATTAAGTAGCCCAGAAGCTGTTCACACAGTATTTAATGTGTTCGCCACCTCGTGGGGTACCTTTTGTTAGCTGGATTGTAAGGGTGAGAAAAATGATCTCAGCAGGGTTAAAACCCTAGCTGGGGTTGCAGAGACAGAAATCACACTTGGAGCAGATGATTCAAAGCCAAGGGCACCTGCCTTTCCTCCCTGCCTTCCTCGCACTGGTAGTTATTTGGTCCGCCTCCTACCTTGGCTACCCTGGTCCTTGACAAATGCCTGTGTGCCTGGCTGCAGCTACCCCACAGTCCCCCAGGCTGAGCTAAGCTGTGACTCCTCCCGGGATCCCCATCTCTTCCCTGCCCTTGTCCACCTCTTGGGGGTGTGTTTGGCCCGATGGAATAATCTTGCTCTTTCTTCCTGTCTCATCTCAATACGTGGACACGTGAATTCTGCATTTCTCTGGCTTTTGAATGTTTGAAGGACTTACCAATTTGTAAGCCTGTGAATGGTGGGACTGTATCTTAGACCAGTGCTTCCCAAAGTTTCTTTTCTTTCTTTTTTTTTTTTTGAGTCAGAGTCTCACTCCATCACTCAGGCTGGAGTGCAGTGGCACACTCATGGCCACCCCAGCGTCGACCTACTGGGCTCCAGCAATCCTTCCGCCTCAGCCTTCCAAGTAACCAGAACTACAGGCGTGCGTTACCATGCCTGGCTAATTGTTTTTTTAAAATTTATTGTAGAGATAAGGCCTCGCCAAGTTGCCCAGGCTGTTCTCGAACCTGTGGGCTCAGGCAAACCCTTCACCTCGGCCTCCCAAAGTGCTGGGATTACAGGCTTGAGCCACCGCACCTGGTCTCCAAACTTTCAGTGAGCATGAAAGTCTCCTGGAGATCACCTTAAAACACAGATGCTGGCTGGATAAAACTGGAGAGGGCCCCAGATTCTGCATTTTTACAAGCTCCTAGGGGATGCCAGTGCCAAGAATCACACTTTGACCAAGAAGGTTTATCATTTTATGTCAAAATGGTGGGATGTCTTATCTGTCTCCCTAGTAGACTGTGTGCTTCTTGGAAGTCAGATCACTTCCTTTCTCATCTTTGTGCCCTCAGTGCCCAGCACAGAGTAGGTGCTCAGTAAATGTTTATTGCATTTACAAACGAATGAATTGTTCTCCGTCCCATCACAGTTTCCCACACACTAAGCGTCAATAACTGCCTAATGAATGAATGAATGAACATGTGTGTCTTTGAATAATGTCTGTGTGAACCACAGGCATTAGAGCGATATGTCTGAAAATTTTGTTTAATTTCACTAGAATTGGGGCCGAGGGAGGAGGGAAGAAAGTAAAGAGAAGGGATTGTTTGAGAGTTTGAGGTGAGGCTCTGTGTAAGGCAATCAACCTAACGCTGAAAATTCATGGCAGAGCCAAATGTCCCTGCAAACCTTTGCTTAGTGCCATTGCAAAGCGTTATGAAAACTGAAAGCAATTTGGGGTCTTCTACACAGACGATTGCAGTGTATGTTACTTTTCTCTGTTCTACTGCCCATTTTTAAAAAAATAAACATCTCTCTCTCTCTCTGATTCTAACTCCACACCTCTCCCACTTTTGTTTTATTGACTGGGACAACACCCAGTGGAACGTGGACACACGAATTCTGCATTTCTCTGGCTTTTGTATGTTTGAAGGACTTACCAGTTTGTAAGCCCGTGAACGGTGGGCTTAGACCAGTGCCTCCCAATGTTTCTAGTTTCTTTTCTTTCTTTTTTTTTTCTGAGTCGGAGTCTCACTCCATCGCCCAGGCTGGAGTGCAGTGGCACACTCATGGCCACCCCAGCATCGACCTACTGGGCTCAGGCGATCCTTCCGCCTCAGCCTTCCAAGTAGGCTCTCTCTTTCTCTCTCTCTCTTTCTCTCTCTCTCTCTCTCTCTGTCTCTCTGTCTCTCTCTCTCTCTCTCTCTCTCTCTCTCTCTCTCTCTCTCTCTCTCTCCAACAGAGGTCATGGGTTTGAATTCCCATTTGTCTTTGACCAGAACAGTGTCAGAGCCAAGGAAAGCTTGGGGCAGCTTTGAAGGCTGGGTATCTTAGATGGGGACCATCTTTCAATCACGCCTGAATCACTAGACGCAAAACACAGTGCTCTTGTTGGTCCCATCTTTCAGATGTTGCCTTTATCAAGTTGATCTCTTTAGCCTCCTAAACTGAGAAAATGAGGGAAGAAATTGGAGCCAGGAAGGAGAAAGTTTTGCTCGTGGACCAGATACTCACAGATACCAGATACCATTTCCTGGTAGCTTGAATGAATGCAGCCCTGGTCAGGAGTCAAAAGTTTACAGAGCTTCATCCTGTGTGTCAGCCAGGTGGGCCAGGATTAAAGATACTCATAATGTTTATTGAGCAGCTACTATGAACCCAAGTACACATGTCTGCATTATATGTACTGCATTTAGTCACCCCACGGAAGGAAATACTGTCATGCCCCTTCTGCAGAGGAGACATCAGTTTCTGACTGGTTAAGGAAATGACTCAAGGTCACAGGGAGTGGTGGCTCTGAAACTGACTTCACATGGCCAGCAAATTAGGACACAAGTTAGAGCTTATTTTGAAATACAGTGCTTCCCACTACATGGTCCCGCCTTTTAATTTTTTTAAAGACAGGGTCTTGCTCTGTCGGCCAGGCTGGAGTGCAGTGGCATGATCATAGCTTGCTGCATCCTTCAACTCCTGTTACGGAAGCGATCTTCCACTTCAGCTTCCTGAATAACTATGACTACAGGCATGCACTACCACACTCAGCTACATTTTAACATTTTTTTGTAGGGACAGAGTCTCACTATATTGCCCAGGTTGGTCTCAAACTCCTGGCCCCGAGCAATCCTCCTGCCTCAGCCTCCCAAAATGCTGGGATTGCAGGTTTGAGTCTCCATGCCCAGCCTTGTCCTGCCTTTTAATCTTTGGATGAAGCCAAGCTTAGAAAGTTTCGACCTAGAAGCATTTTAGTGCCAGGGTAAACGCAATAAAGAAATGAGAGTTTAAAGGAACCGTCTATCTTAAACGGTTTGCCTGTCATCCCTAATGATAACTTCAGCAAATATAATACATATTCAATACACAGAGGCAATATTTGCATTAGTAATTCTAAAATATTCACTATTAAAGATCCAATAACTAGTTCCTAACGTAATCTAGGAAGGCTCATGGAAACTAAAACCAGTGATTAGATGTCAGAAGCTCACATGCCTATGTAGCTTAAAAGTTAGATCCTGCAATCTTTTGTAGTTTGGTGACTTACATATCTCAATTTTATAACAGTGAATTTCAAAGGAACGCTCACATTTATTTATTTCAATGGAATTTTGAGGTGTTTAACAATTGGACCATACCTGGGAGACTGGGGATGGGTGAATTAATAAGCTGTTTCTTATTTGTGGCCTAGTTAGAGACAGGGGCTTTACTAAGTAGGGATCTTGCCACAATCTCCTGTCTGTAAATTCTGGTATCAGAGCTCTCCTGTAAGCAGTGTTTTCACACATCTGTGGTGCAGTGATAACTGTCATGTTCTGGAATGAGGTTTACAGCCCATGAAGGTCCTACGAGTGACCCCAAATCTTCAAAGGCAGATTAAATGATGTTGCATATAGTTTCATAACTGAGGGCATTTGACTTAATTCATGCACCAAAGCAGTTAATTTGCATGTAGGTTGCACATGGCACTCAACCTGTAACTGGCTTCAGAAATCCCCCTTATCTAGCCATGCCAAATAACAGCCTCTGGAGCATTAACAACAATAACAAAAACCTTCCACAGAATTCTAGGAACAACCGATGATTCTCCCAACCACTGGTCTTTTGTTAGCTGAGGTTTTTTTTCTTTTTTTTTTTAATCTTTTTTCTTTAAATGTGGGATTATTGGCCAGGTTCAGTGGCTCAGCCTGTCATCCCAGCACTTTGAGAGGCCAAGGCGAGTGGATTGACTGAACCCGCAGGTCCAAACCCACCCGGGCAATTTGGCGAGACCTTGTCTCTACAATAAATCAAAAATTAGCCAGGTGTGGCAGTGCGCGCCTGTAGTTCCAGCTACTTGGAAGGCTGAGGCAGAAGGATCGCCAGAGCCCAGCAGGTCGAGGCTGCAGTGGCCGGGAGCGGCCACTGCACTCCAGTCTGGGCGACAGAGACCCCAACTCAAAAAAAAAATATGTGGGATGTCAACCAGTTTTGCACAGTTGTTTGTGTCATCTTAAAAGTCATCAAAACTGCAGATTTCCTGGGTGCATTGCAGAAACGCCATGCCACGTGCTCATCTGGGGAATGACAGACCGCAGACATTGACAGGCTAGAAGAAGTGCCTTGAGGAACGTAGTGAAGGTGTTGAGATGCCTGTGACTTACCCCCACGACAACCAGGGTGGAAGGAGAATATGAAACCTGCCTCTGTGGGTCACAGGGGGTGCCTGACCCCGCCCCATTGTCCCACATTCACTTTTCTGGTGTTTATGACAACTGGGCTGGCTCTTTCCCTCCTTCTCGTGAAGGGATTTTCCTTCTCCGTTGTCCTTCTGCAATCCCCCACCCCATGCAACCGCAGACCTCACCTGCCTCTCCTCACCCTCTTCCCAGGCTGCCCTTACCTGCCTGTCCCACTGGCAGCTGAATAGATGGATGACAAGAGCAATGGGCAAGTGCAGGGGACCCCGACGGCTCCCTTCCATGGTTCCCTCCCTGGGGTCTGAGCCCCTTGGACGTCATAAGCCATTTGTGAATGCCTACCTGGTGCCTGCACGTCAGTGAGGCTTAATGAATGTTGAGTGAATGAATGAATGAGTCCAGCTCATGGTGGTGGTGGTTTTTGTCCCCCTGCCTTATTCTTTACTTTCTTTCTCCAGTACTTTTTTGGCAGTTGGTCCACTGAGGCAAAGAAGGACAGGACAATTCTCTCCCAGCTGATCTGGAACATAGATGCCACTTCCTTTAGTGTTTCAAGGGGCCCCATCTCTCCCTTCTCTCTTGTCCCGCCCAGGCGAGGGCCAGGAGGGGGAGGGGAGAAGGAAGACCCCCCACAAAAGCCCCATCCCATCCAGGTCTGCATTCTCCTATAGGGTCTATTTCCGTGTTATTCCCCTAGCT